AGGTTTTTCCAGTTACGGGTCCTTTTTAAAGCTGATCATTTTGTGTTCATTTTGTTTAGTTCTTTTTTTTGTAACAGATTTAATGTTTAGTATAGAGCTTAGAAAAAATTCACAGTGTGAGATAGGCAAGAAGTAAGGCATGTAGCAACATCAGCACAGCAAAGGGCACTCCTTTAAAGGCAAGGAAGGGCAAAAATATTTTAAGTCAAGTGATAGCAATTGCTGTACGAGTCATACGATTTTTGAATCAAGCACGAGCAACACCGGGCCATGCTGCTAGTATATATATATATTATTATTATTTTTAAAAGATCTGAGAAAATGTCATTCTTTTTGTAATAACCACCAATATTTTCATGACTAAATTTTACTCGAAAAATGTTTAAGTCACAAATTTTTTACATTTCCATAAAAGATTAATCACCGATGCATCTCTGCTGAAAAAAAAAAAAAAAAAGTTTTACAAAGATTACAACACAACACAAACAGGTTTGTCTTAAAAACAGTATTTCAGTTTTTAGGAAAATTTTTCATGTGTTGAAATCTTTAAACATTTTTATTTCTTAAGCGATCCTTTTCTCGGTTTTATCTTTCTAGAAATGTAAAAAAAATAGGGAGTAGAAATTTTATATTAATTAATGGCCGTGGACTTCTGGTTAATATTACTATTAGAAAAAAAAAAAAAAAAATCAGAGATCCTTCTCAGTAGAGGAGGAATAAAAAATGATTTTATTGAAATATATATTACCCTCTTAAATGATTTAAAAGAACTGTTCAGAGGTTCAGGATAGTAATCACTGGCCCTGTTGATTATTATAGTTGCTTTAAAAATAATTAAAAAAAGAAAAAAAAAGTTGGATGGCCATAAAACAGTGCTGAAAAAAATGGCAGCAGCCACAATACTAACAAGGCCCTTAAAAACGCTCACCGCCTCGTCGGGGGTAAGAGGCACCGCCCCTGTTATGAAGGTATGGCAGTGCCTTGGGGAGATAGTGCTACCCTGGGTCAAGAGGGCAGCTGCTGGAAGACCCTATATCTGGCAACACGACTCTGCACTATGCCACACAAGCAGGAGAACCAAGTCATGGCTGTCAGACAATTTCTGCGACCACATCACCTTACATCCGGCTACCTAACTTCCCAGACTGCAACACCCTTGATTATTATGTGTGGGGTGCAGTTGAGCAAGTGACCAACAAAACTCCTAACACCAAGGATGAACTGAAGGTAAGGATTATGGCATCATTCACCAACATAAACAAGGAGACACTCCAGAAGAATTACAGGAGATTCCAAAGGCAATGGTTGAAACCAATGGCTATTGACATTATTCTGTGAATAATAACATTTTATGATAAATAGAATAATGAATTTTTAGAAAAAATTTTTGATTTTTTTAAAAAAAAATTTTAATCATAATAATTTATAATAGTTTTTAGAATCAGTAAAATTATGTATTTGGCTATTTCCTGAATGTGATATAGTAATTAAGTGGAAACAAAATTTATGAATCCAAAATTGAAAAGATTAAGCTACACTATTCTATTTTTAAAATAATTTTTTTATTTTACTTAATTTGTTCCCTTTTTTTTTCTTTTTTTTTTTTTTTTGCTTCTGTGAAAGTTTAAGTGTTGACCTTATTATGAAAAGGTCACATATGAAAAAGTCAATAAATTATTAGTAAAAATTACTAGGTAGTTAAAACCCCCCAAAATGTGTTCACTTAGATTTTGTAAATTTTATGTCAATTCTAGTCATCCATACTAGCTGTCATCGCTTTGTCACTCCATCAAACATCGCTTCAGTTAAACAGGACTCGTCAATAGCTAATGGTTGTATGTTACTTTTTTATGCTATAAGTAAGTAATATTTATTTCAAATTGAATTAATTTAACTTAAAATTTTTCTAATTTTACTCAAATAACGTGTTAGAAATATATATATATATATATATATATATATATATATATATATATATATATATATTTTTTGAAATAGTTTTTAAAATTGATTTTGTTTACGAATTTTTTAAAATTAAAATTTTAAATAATCAAAATTAAATTTGACATTCCAATCTATATAATTTCTATCTGAAATACACCAGAATATTTTACTTACTGGAAATAATAAATTTAATCCTTTTTAGCTTTCAATTAAAGCTAAAATGAAATCTTTAAGAATGCTTTTCATTTTTAAAAATTAATTCTAAACCTTGGGTATTGAAAATTTATACCGAAAAAGTGGAGGTACCTAAGTAGGACTCCTTGGAGAATTTAAATCACCTTTTGTTTTTGTTTTTTCAAACTTGCACTATTCTAACTGAAAATCTGCTTGGAACTGAAAAATAATGAATGCAATAAAACTAATTTTTTAATTAGAAAAGCATTTAATTGCTTTTGGAAATGCGAGATACCATACCAAGAAAAAATCAAACATCTTCTTAACGGACAAAAAAAATAAATTTTATTATGGTAAAAAGTTTTGGCAGGGTTATTTATATTAAGCTTTTAAGTTTCGCTTAGTAAATATAGTCTTCACTTAAAAAACTAATAACCGACCAAATTCGCTGCATGAAAGAATTTAAAACATTTTTAAAATTAAAGAAAAAATGAAAAAAAAATAAACAAAAATGCAAACAATTGTTGTAAAATTTTTATTCATCGAAATTTTTTTCTTCTTCAGATAATAATGTCCTTAATGGATATTATTTATAAAAACAAATAAAAATTATCTAATTTGATAATTAGATAGTTTATTGCAGTTTTATTTTTACGATTTGGAGCAGATTTTTATAAAGTTGGCATTAGTTGTGAAAAAAAAAAATTGGTTATTTAATTTCTCAAAGGAGTCCTGCATATACGGAAAAAAAAAAAAATTTGCAAATTTTTTTTGAATTTCTATATAATATTTCATACAATTAATTTTGGGTGGGGAATATGTAAAAAAAAACGTTTTTACCAAGATTTTCTAAAAATAAAAATTTCAAAATAAATTCATTCCTTTTTGAATAAGTTCTGAAAGTTTCATTTAAATTAGACAATTATTTGATTTTTGCAATAATTTCCAAAATTAATGGGTTCTCCCCGAGATTGCTACACTAAAAATGGCGATGACCACAAGTCGTAATGGTTTTAACACAAAAAAACGAGATATTTGACCCAAATTTAAAACGTGTTCGAAGGAAGAGAAAAATTTTTAAAAATATTTAAAAAATACTTCGTTCTTCCCTCTTAAGAATAACATAAAAATTTTAATGATGAAACTTTGTTTTTATTAAGTTTCGGACCTGTTACATTGATTCTTAGCGAATAGTTGGAGGTACCTTAACGAATAAAAAAATTCAGGAAATAGAAAGGTTTTTTGCGAAATTTCATGAAATTAAGCAAGGGGGTGGGGTAATATGTAAAAAAAAAAAATATTTTTTACCAAAATTTCCTATAAAAAAAAAAAAAATTCAAAAATAATTTCATTCATTTGTGAATAAGTCCTGAAAATTTCATTAAATCGGACAATTATTTGATTTTTACAAGAAATTCCAAATCAATGTTTTCAATGGATTTTTCCATTGAAAACATTGATTTGCAAAAAAGTTAATATGCCACCCCGATGACGTAAACAAAACAAGATTTTAACCAAAATTTCTAAAGATTAGAAAATTTCAAAAAAATAATCAAAAAATACTTTGACCTTCCATCTTAATAACAAACATTTTGGCAATAATACTTTATTTTTATTTGTGGTCTTTTTCGTTATTACTCTCTATGCCGCATCTTAACTCTTTTCATCAAGATACATTTTTGTGTAATTTTGGTAAATAAATAATAAATATATCTGTTAAAATGAGATGTCAGTGTTATTTTCATTTCTGCGTAATTTAGACGAAAATTCTTTCATGTACTTCTCTTATTTCTGATAATATATTTTATGGACGTCTGTATTTACAAAAATCGGAAAATTTGGGGTGCTTTTTTTTTTTTTTAAACTTAAAAAAATTTCGTAAATACAGTTTTTAGTAACCATAAAGAGCAATTAAAAGGTTTTCTAATTTAAAAAAAAATGTCTTAGTTTTATATTGCATTTTTTTATTTTACGACTCAGGACAGATTTTTTTCTGTAACTGGGGGTCCTGGTTAAAGAAAGATATTCGTTGAGGATTTAAAAATCCTCGGAGGACTTGTAGTACGGATAACAAATATAAACATTTAAAACTATTAAAGGAGTTTACCAAAAATTTATCAGTTTTTTGTTATTCGTGCTTATCTTCACTCTTAAAAATAAATCATAGAAATTTACAGTTACTGTTTCCAACAGAACAAGACAAATTTTGTCAAAAAGAAAGATTCGCAGTTGTCCAATGGTTCCAAAAATGTCTAGTAATAAACTGAAAAATATATCTTTTAATTACATGTTTTATTTTATGCATAGGACTGCAAAGGACTAAACGGGAACAACATTTGAAAATTACTAAATATTTTGTTTTGAATAACGCAAATTTTCTTTGCGTGTTAGGATTCTTTGACTTAAAAAAAAATGTAAAAAAATTATTCTTTACAGTGTAGTCGGAATGCAATTTTCACTTTATATTTTGTTATTGATGTCTGTAAAAATAAAAATCGTTTAAGTACGAGATTAATTTACTGACATTTTCTAAACTAATTTAAAAAAAGAAATTACCACAACAATTTCACGATAAACTAAAAATGTAAATGTGCTTCTTTTTCCTGCGGCTATGAATGTGAAATCATCAACGTCTCCTCAAGATGACCTTTGTTTTAAACTTCTGGAAAGAAGTGTATACATTTCATTTCGTGTTATTCGTTTTTTGTTTGTTTTTTTTCTTTTGCTATATCTAACTACATTGGCAACATTTAGTAAATCAGATAACAATTTTAACGAAAATTGTGTTAATTTCCTAAATGTCTTACTCAAAGGTTTGAACAACAACAGTAACACGAAGAAGTCACCATTGACCAATTTTAAGAAAAATAAATAATCCTCACCTGCATACAACCCATAACCACTACCATAAAGTATTTTTTTCATACAGTCTTCATCATCAGGAGTGGAAAGTAGATCAAAACCATACTTATCTCTTAATGATATACCTTTCCCTTCAAGCGGCATTTTTATATTTCCTCTCCTTGTTAAATAACCTTTCCCATAATGCAAAGGAATAAAACATTAAAATTACCTCCCTTAAGAGTAGTTTTCTCAACAATCTTCTAGGGGAATTATTTTATTTTATTTTATTTTATTTTATTTTAGCAAGAAAAGCTACAGAAGTAAACTTAAAATGTAATAAAGGCCAAAAAAAAAAAAAATTAACAACCATGAAAATATCCATTTCTTTTAGGATCAGTTTTTAAATTGAAATTTCATAGAATACTGATTCTTCTGGAAGTATTTTTTTCCAGATCCAACGAATATACAAATATTTAAAGCCCAATGCCATAAATTAAAACTTAAAGTCAGAAAATAATTACTCAAGGATCTCATCAATAATTATTTACAGCACACAGGTGGCATTAGTGTATGTTTGTGTTATCTTTTGAATTATGATTTTTATTATCAATTATACAAGCATTGTGTTAATACATTAATTTACTTTAGTAATAATTTTGTTGTAAACAGACACTTTTGAAATGACCTTTACTGTATAGGATACAAATCCTATATTCCAACAAATGACTAAAAAACACAAAGTAGATTTGCACACCCGCAAAATCGGATCAAAACGACCAAAAACAGATTTCACAATAAGGTGTGAAATTAATTTTCTGACTGTTATGATGTTAATTTGGGGTTAATAAAGACAAACGCCAAATAACATGTAACAATAAAATGGGGTTTATTCGGTTGGTAAGTTGGTACAGATATCGCCTGAGTAGTCTATAACTAACTCAACTCAGAACTTCTTCGACACTGTCTTTTGACATGCCACTAGTTAACGTCCTTGTTTTGTAGACGAGTTCATCTTCAAGAGGGGTGGTAGGTTCCTACACAACACTGACCAATGAAAGGAGGCGATTTGCTAAACCAAAAAAAAAAAGATAAGGAGGCAGTGTGAAAAAAAAGTCAACAATAAATACAGAGTTTTCAAGTCAGTCGCCAGTCAGAGAAAGGCGCAAGCAGAGCCGAGATTGACGAAGTCAGCAAAGAAATAAGTGGGTATGAGATGGTGACAGGGGCCAAGATCAACCGTGATAAGTCTGTGGGCTTGCGGTTGGGTGCGTGGAAGGGAGTTTCTCTTCCCGGACCTTTCCTCTGGACGGATGGGCCGATCAAGATACTCGGCGTCTGGTTCGGTCCTGATCTCCAGTTGGAAATGAACTTGTGGACTCTTCTAGTATTCTAACCTTCTCTAACCTTAAAAAGGCACAGTCCACATCGTACGCCTACGTACAGAAAAACCTCAACCAATAGAAATGGCAAGAATCGAACCAAGCAATTCCATTGGTCAATCGTCTTCTGAAACAAGAATTGCGCCAAAACGACTTGAGCCACTTTTGAAAACCCAAGTGTTATATAAAGGAAAGGCAGACAGCCCCTTTCAGTGGAAGCGGAGCAGCAGAGTAGCTGTAATTACCAACCTTCAAGATGTAACATTTCACCGACTCCCGTCTTAGTCATCGCTGACCAGACGATAAAGAAAATTACCAGCCCCATTCAGTCAGTCTAGCAAATTCACCGAGCAATTGCCTAAATACTCCACGACGTTTGAAAAAACAATCTTGCCGCGCTTTTCAAAGAACACTCACTGACTCACTTTGAACATTCAACGAACGACTCTCGAAACTTTCCACTAAATTTCTTATACATATTGATTTATAATCATTACAACAATAAGAAATACGATACAAACACAAACACGTTCAAAGGTAGACTACTTCGACAAACTTTTGCAAAGAAACTCTTAAATCTTATTACTCCAATATTTGATACAAACAAGAAAATAGCAAACATAACGACACAGAGACATCAAACATTCCAGCAACACATACAATTTACGCACGCATTAATACACATATTGTTCCAGTTTGTAAATGTTTAATTGCATATAAATGCTTTATTGTTTTGATCTATATATGTCTCGTTTTTTCCTTGTTTGAAATCTCACGCTTGTTTGTATATTTGTTTGGGACACGGTTAGACACGCAACCGATAATAACAAAAATCCTTCTGATAAATCAAATGACCCAAAAGTCCCAACAAACTGGTCGGAGGTACAAGGGAAGGCCGAGATCGCGGTTAATCTGTGGTCTCGGAGGAGACTTTCCCTGAAGGGAAGGGCGGAAAGTTTCACTTGTGTTTCACAGATCTAGCCGATCCTCCTCTACCGACTCTCTGTGCTTCAAACTCCCGTATGCCCGACTAATGTCATTAGTCAGGACCTTGTTCTCTTTCTTGTGGAGATTCAAGGCCCCTATGGTATCTCGCGAGGTCTGTTGCCTCCATCCTTCTGAGGGCGGTCTGGGGATGCCTTTCATTGAGATCCGTCAATATTATCTTTTTCATTATTCTTTTAGACCAGAATGTGTCGTACTCGAATGAGGAGGGTGCCTTTTTGGAAAGAAGACGTCCAAAAACATTTTCCATCCCTGAAAAGTGTGCAAACAATTGCGAACAAGAGGCCGGCCGTTTACCACGTGCCGAGTGCTCTTTTTATCGTTTTTTATGTCGTCGCGCTGAAATCCTCTTAACGGGCTTCGGATGGTCTCCAACGCCCAGGCGTTGTCTCGCAAGGCATTATATCAAGTTTTAATTAGGGGTCCGTTAAAGATGATCTGATTGGCGAGCTCGGTCTTACGAAGCAGGAGGCTCCCTCGATATGGCCTTATCTCGCCCCTTGTTGAAATGTCTCAATAACGATGAGGCATCACTCACCTGGCTGGTGATTCGTTTAAGCCCTCTGGGTCGGCAAGAGACTTTGTTCAGCAGGCTTGGAGAAATATCAAACTGTCGTCGCTGTACGGGGAAGTCGAGACTATTGGTCACGCCTTCTTTCAGTTTTCTTTTTAGTAATGCCGTTGTTGTAGAGCAAGTTTGTTTTGAATGCCTCATGGTTTGCATAGAAAGTTTTTTTCCTGGAAGCCAGTTCTGTTTGTAGCAATGTGGTGCCGCAGATGACGAAGGCTGAACACTCATGTGTTCTGTTGCTTACTAGGGGTTATGAGAGTTGTGATTTGGACGATGCGTCAGAAGGATTCCATGAGGGCGAGAAGTTCACTTTTTTCCCAACTGATCTTGTTCTTTAAGCATCAGCTTAAAGTCAAGATCAGGACGGAAAAACGGCGGCTCACCTCATCGGAATTCAGCAAAAGGTGGGTGATTCTTGCGCGAATGTGCCAGTAAAGGGGCTGACCTTGAGTGGCATCTGGATGCCGGTTAGGCATTAAGGATATTGTTTTCCTGGGTTGAACATAGGAAACCCATCCCGGAGTTAGGTTAGATTAGGTTTTTGTATTTTTTTTTTAGTTTTTCTATTCTGATAAACTTAGCTAGGGTGTATTTGCTCATTGGTCCCTTTTATTTCTGTCCCCATTTTTTTTCCTTTAGTTTAACTCCCCATCCCTCCCTCGTTTTAGGTGGTCAGTGATGTCAGTTCTCTGGTAGATGCATCCCTCGCTTTTCGTTTTCGTGCGTGTGTTTTTCGTATTTGTTGTTGTGTATGAATGAGTGTGTGCCTGTGTGAATGCTTAGGATGATTGAGTGTGGCTTTATTTTTTCAGAAGTCCCGCATCGATTTCGTCCGGTTAACTGATATTTCTGCCACATTCAATAGTTTGTGGGGGGTTTTATTACTAACACTAATTTTATTTGGTTTCTTGTAAATATTATTTTGTCATTTTGTATATATTTCATTGGGGATCTTTTTAGAAGTTGTTGTTTTTCATGCCCTCCCCCACAGACAATATTTGTACATAAGGGGATTATTTAGGTTTTTCAGGGAATTAAAAAAAAATTTTGGTGTATGTAGTAAGAAAGGTATGGATAAATGTGTTGTTTTGGTGAAAGGAATATTGTTCAGTATGATAGGGTCAGTGGATGTTTTGCTAGCTAAGTTTTAATTTAAGACAAGTGATGACCGTCCTTTTACCCCAACCCCCTTTTCGGCCTTGTGCCACATTTGTAATTTTTCTAGTATAATAAATAATGTCAGAGAAAAAGCGCAAAGATCACAAAAGATTTCATCACTGACTCAACCCGACATAAAGAGCCGAAAGTGAAAAACTAGGAAAGAACAACAACAAACAAATTTTTTCAACTGACTCCAAAACAATTCATAAGTACATTTTCCTTTTATCTTTATTCCTCATTCACATGAACCAAGTTCAACTTAAATTGCTCGCCCTTTTTCATTTTTCAACTATACAAAAACAAAAGAAACAGACATTATTCTGCTACTCCGTTAAAAGACAGCGAACACAGACATTTTCATCAAAATCACAATTTTGCTTAAACGAACTAAAGCCTTAATCCTTTTTACCCTATTCACAAGATAATAAATATACAATGTTCTATTTTCTATAAACGTTCCTTATCGTGTTGTTTCCTCTTGAAATTTGCGTTGTATTTTGTGGGCAGGGTATCCCGTATTAAATTCTCCTTTAATCCGGGTACGCTGAACCCCACAACTGTAAAGGCTTTACAGGGTGTAGTTAACATTTTGTTGAAAGTAGGAAAGGTATGAAGGAATTTAAGGAAACAACTTAAGTAGAGATTAACAGTTGCAAAAATGTGAAATTATTCAAATATTTTCTTGTAAATAGAAATTTACAATGACATTGTAGCGACTTCTATGCCTTTCCACGCCCACAATTTATTCGTTTGCGATTGGCTAGTAAATCAATACTGTTTTTTCTATAAGTCAATTTAGCAATCACAGTCATCACTTTGAATTTTTCGGTCGTGAACTTGCTCACATGTTTCTTTAAATGAAAATCAGTAATTGGTCAAATTTTAACCAATCAAACGTTTTAATACTAAATCAATTTGTCGGAGTTAGCTCGTCCTTTAGTTCCTTAACCCTTCACCGGGGGTCTCTCTTCCCTGGCTATAAATACTGAGTGACCTTTTGCCTCGATCTCTTTTTTTCCTCAGGCCAATACAGCGTTTCCCAATTT